GCAGGTGAGTGCTTCTCGCAGGATTTTGAGGTATTTCATTTTTCTGAAGTGAATGCATTACGCTTTCATATGTTATAGTATTTTGATGGGAAATACTAAAATGAAACCAAGATGTGTGAGAAAAGGAAGTATGTGCTGTTATTCAAAGTATTGAATTATACCCATAGTGCACCTGTTTGGTTAATTGTTAATATCAACTGTGGTCATTCATTTTTGAATTAATCACGAAAATAACACTGAGGATATTGGGCTACATAATTACTTTGATTTTTATAGGATTTCCTGGTTAGTTTTATTGAAAAAAAGTGCTGTCTTAGGTGAACCTACAGCAGGCAGGTTTCATTTCAACATTTGTTCAGTTTTTTATTAGCAGGTGCAGGAGGTGAAGGCATGCTGCAGGAGATTCTGTGTGGACGATACCTCCACAAACGCCAGCGTCTTTTCCTTATTTACAACAGTTATCTGACATTAACAGATACACCAAATACAATTACATTAGTTCTTGTGCCATAATTCTTGGCACGCACTCAAGAAGAGGCTGATTTCAGAGTCAAACTGAATGATTACCACCCTACATGAATCTCTTAGCAAACATCAGGCGGTGTCAGTGTACTGTACATCTGCAGTCCCACCATACAGGCTCCATATTCCTCACTACAGTATAGTGTTCACCCTGAAACATGCTAAAACACCCTGTACATGCATATTCCATATCACTTAAATTAGTCAGAGCTTTTATTTGCTTAAATCACAAAACTTACTCTGCCTACATTTGGGACAGATTTCTATATGTGAAAGACCTTTAATTCCTTTACCATGCCAGAAAAATCTTATTTGACAAAATGTTTAGCCACATCATCATCACACCTAGGCTTTTAATTGAAGTTCTGCAGTACACATACAGGTGCTAGTCATATAATTAGAATATCATCAAAAAGTTGATTTATTCCAGTAATTCCACAAGTGGAACTTGTATAATGTATACATTCATTCCACACAGACTGATATATTTCAAGTGTTCATTCCTTTTAATTTTGATGATTATAACTGACTATACTGAAATCAGTATCTCAGAAAATTTGAATATTGTGAAAAGGTTCAATATTGAAGACACCTGGTGCGACACTCTAATTAGCTAATTAACTCAAAACACCTGCAAAGGCCTTTAAATGGTCTCTCAGTCTAGTTCTGTAGGCTACACAATCACGGGGAAGACTGCTGACTTGACAGCTGTCCAAAAGACGACCATTGACACCTTGCACAAGGAGGGCAAGACACAAAAAGGTCATTGCTAAAGAGGCTGGCTGTTCACAGAGCTCTGTGTCCAAGCACATTAATAGAGAGGCGAAGGGAAGGAAAAGATGTGGTAGAATATTGTACAAGCAATAGACAAGCAATAGGGATAACCGCACCCTGGAGAGGATTGTGAAACAAAACCCATTAAAAAATGTGGGGGAGATTCACAAAGAGTGGACTGCAGCTGGAGTCAGTGCTTCAAGAACCACCACGCACAGACGTATGCAAGACATGGGTTTCAGCTGTCGCATTCCTTGTGTCAAGCCACTCTTGAACAAGACACAGCGTCAGAAGCGTCTCACCTGGGCTAAAGACAAAAAGGACTGGACTGCTGCTGAGTCGTCCAAAGTTATGGTCTCTGATGAAAGTAAATTTTGCATTTCCTTTGGAAATCAAAGTCACAGAGTCTGGAGGAAGAGAGGAGAGGCACAGAATCCATGTTGCTTGAAGTCCAGTGTAAAGTTTCCACAGTCAGTGATGGTTTGGGGTGCCATGTCATCTGCTGGTGTTGGTCCACTGTGTTTTCTGAGGTCCAAGGTCAACACAGCCGTCTACCAGGAAGTTTTAGAGCACTTCATGCTTCCTGCTGCTGACCAACTTTATGGAGATGCAGATTTCATTTTCCAGCAGGACTTGGCACCTGCACACAGTGCCAAAGCTACCAGTACCTGGTTTAAGGACCATGGTATCCCTGTTCTTAATTGGCCAGCAAACTCGCCTGACCCTAACCCTATAGAAAATCTATGGGGTATTGTGAAGAGGAAGATGCGATACGCCAGACCCAACAATGCAGAAGAGCTCAAGACCACTATCAGAGCAACCTGGGCTCTCATAACACCTGAGCACAGTGCCACAGACTGATCGACTCCATGCCACGCCGCATTGCTGCAGTAATTCAGGCAAAAGGAGCCCCAACTAAGTATTGAGTGCTGTACATGCTCATACTTTTCATGTTCATACTTTTCAGTTGGCCAACATTTCTAAAAATCCTTTTTTTTGTATTGGTCTTAAGTAATATTCAAATTTTCAGAGATACTGAATGTGGGATTTTCATTAGTTGTCAGTTTTGATCATCACAATTAAATTAAATAAACATTTGAAATATATCAGTCTGTGTGTAATGAATGAATATAATATCCAAGTTTCACTTTTTGAATGGAATTACTGAAATAAATCAACTTTTTGATGATATTCTAATTATATGACCAGCACCTGTACACACTTTATTAGGTACACCTGTTCAATTGCTTGTTAACACAAATAGCACATCAACCAATCACATAGCATAACCACCCTTTGCCTTCAACACTTCTAGGTACACTTGCACAAAGTCACGGATCTTGTAGGTATATTGTCATTTGTATGATTCAACAGTCATCCCAAACAGGTGCTAATGATCATCACTTCAATATGTAGGTTGAAACACACACTCAATAACTGATACAGACACAGCTGTGTAGGACTAATATAACTGGGTGATATATATGTCTTCACCAACAAACCCTACTATTCAAATCAGCAAAACTGAAAAGCATCAGTGATACAATCACACAGAGATATACACAATCATCTTTCTACACCTCTGATCCTGTCTGTGTAACTCTGCTGTTTAAATGTAAGTGGTCTTGTTTTGTTTCATTCAGGCAACAAAAAAGAAAGTCTTAAATACTCACTAGTCAGTTTAGGAAATTACTAGTTTAGGTGAATAAATGTGGAGTAAAATATGACAAAATGGAGCTGAGTCTGACAAACTGAGTCTGAAATGACCTAAGATGGCAACTATATGGAAGATAAATCTTTCCTGTGTTGACACCCACAGGCCATAAGTTACATTTATGGCCCACCAGTGGTAAGAATCTAGGAACTACTTGAAAATAGTATAGGATCAATAAAAGTCTTCTCCAGTGCACCTGCATGAGAAGTGCTTCTGCTAAATATCTAAAAATAGCAAAGCTGTCACTCCAGTTTTCATCCATCTCCCTGTGTTGTTTTAGTGTGTAATGAACATTAAAGTCTGACAGGACAGCAAACATGTGGTACTACTATCTGAAGATATTTTCTACTGTGTTAAACAGAAATACGTACTACATGACAAATTACTTAAGCGACTCCAGTGCATTGTTTATTTCAGAGAAAAGCGGAGGTCTTCTGTAGGAACGTCAGGCTTGCTCCAAAATCTTCAACCAATAAGCAATGTCCTCATTAGTTGTCATGAGTTAGAAGAAGTAGTGACATTTCATCTCTCTCTGGGAACAGAAAACTTAACGCTTCATGTCATTTGTCAGTGCACAATTTTATTATTTTTGTAAGAAAATAAACTCATGTTTGTATTTATATTATAAACCAGAATTAATTTTTTTTTAATTCAGAAATAAAAAACAACAAATAAACAGCATATTTTCATTTATATATGTACACATACACTTCTTTTCTCAGCAGCTCCCTAGCTGTACAACTGAAGCAGTATATAACATTTTAGTGCCATCATTTCATTTGCTGATAGAAAAAAAATAATTGTTAAACAGTAAGTTGACTGTAAAACACAGAAGGCACTTCAGGGTAAAACTCCAGGGTCTTTGTGATGTGGATTCTAACACAAACCATCTGTGACTGACAGGAGGGTTGGACTACTGTTTATTCAGCCTCCTAAAATCCTCAGCGAATTTAGTCACAGATGAGTTCTGCTGACCAAGTACTGAAAGTAATTTGCATTTTCATGCACTGCAAGTTTGTATGATCAGGCAGAGTTGTTCTGGCCTGCAGGTTATCAAAATCTTTGTATGTCGCACACTTACATTTTGTTGGAACTGAAACTATAACAAAGATGTTTTTGGGACTGGTGAAGTGAATGCTTACCTTATTTTAAGATCACAGGTTGTACATTTGCATAACAGCCCAACTCATACATCGGCATGGTAGATATGATTTTAGCTTATCAGAGATATCAGCATGTAAATGCATTTCAGAAATGTCACCATTACACAGTTTGAGTCGGGGACAAGTTTATTTTTCCTATTCTAAATCATCAAGTGTCCCGGAACCCCAAAATGTTCAAAATAAACCTAAATAAAAGACATAAAATAAATGGTCATATAAATTATCTTAGGTCCTAATCTAAGTCTAATAACTGAATGCATATCTATAACAAAATAATGTTAATGTTTTTTGTTTTTTTTATTCTCAGCATCTGCCTCAAAATTCCAGTATCGGTCGGCCTCTAATCTGTATCTTAATTTGAATTAGTCTTATTTCCTCTCGCCACATACGATGGGATAAACTTAGAACAAGAATCAAGTATAAATGCATATAAACAAATGGTGGAAGGCCTCAAAAATGGACTATGACACACATCTATCTCATATAGTCCAGGTCAATTGGCCGTTTCTTACTTCTTCTAACATATAAACTGATAGATATATCTGTGATATGATAAAATGGCAATATTATCAGCCATGCCTCTAATTCTGTTTTACCACTCTCTCTAATGTTTATATGGTGACAGTCAAATTTGCGGTAGTGTGATAATCTAAAAGGTGTACAAATGTCCTGTAAACCTTTGCCAACATGACACCATCCCTCAAAAGTTACTTTAACTTCAACATCATTACAGCAAGTCCCAAAAGCATCGCTTAGATACTGTATCCAGTACATAATTACACCAACTGAAGGATCCTTAATAAATAAAAAGCACTGAAAACACAATGTACTATGTATAATACTACCAATAGTTTAATAACAATTTATAATTCTTGCTGCTGGGGAGGGTCGTCATTTGACTCCACTGATTTTACACAACAGTCTGTTCACAGGTGAAGAAAGGTGTATAAAGACTTGTCTCCGGAGGGAGCTGTGTGAAATCCGATAAATGTCCTCATGTGATGCCACTTGAGTCACTGACTCAAGGCCACTTTAGCTGGTACAAAAATAACGCACTGCAATCATTGTGGGTAATGTAGGTCACAGGTTTTTACAAGGAAGTAGAATGTGTGGAATAAATAAGATATCTGTATCTGATGCATCAATTTAGATCCTTTCTTTAAAGTTGTCCAAAGAGTCCAACATTGTTACAGGAGTGCAAACCTAAATGGCGTAATCTTTTAAATAACAGCAGACAAAAATTATTCAGTGACTAAAGCAACAGTATGCACCCCAGAGTCACAGCTCACTAAACTGCACTATGACTGCATGAGCGAATGCAGCTTCTGTTGGATGATTTCAGAGTTCATGGTCCACAGGAACTCAGTAAGTCCTCCTGTGAGCAGTTCCTCCATGGGAACAAACTGTAGCACCTGTCTGTCACATCCAGACGCCAGATTTTTACCCAAAACCTCCTCTCCTTTTAACAACTGACCCATGTCGTTATGGACATCCGTGAGAACAGGGAGTATTCGTGCAGCAGCTTCAGGGCAGAAACCAACACACAAAAGCACAGAGTACCCAACTACGCCTGAGGGAGGCGGACACCTGAACGTGACTGAGCGAAAACAAACATGCAGGCAGAACACAACAGCTGCAGTGACACGGGTGAGGGCAGAAAACACAGGTAGCAGCAGGGCATCCCCAGAGTTCAGGGTCTGCAGGGAAAATACAGCACAACCTAAGAGCTGCTGCTGGTACAGTGGCTCCCCGTCGTGCAGCGTGATGCAACCTCTTTGAGGAAATAAAGGCTCTGCAGAAAATGTTAAGACTAAATCCCCAAGTTGGCTTTCACAGGCACCCCAAACTGATCGGCTGCCAAACACCAGACACTGCCTCTTCTTTTTGTTCCCAGCACTGTCAGCTATGAAAACAGAAAGACGTGCAACGTCAGACAAGATGGAGGCCGCGGTAACCACATAGCAAGAGTCACAGGTAGGTACGCAAGTCCAGTCCACTGCTGTGTCCATCAGGGCTTCATTCAAATGGTTTAACAATCCTCCTTCACAGAACGGAGAGTTTCTGACTGCAGGCAGTGCAGCCCCCGCAATAACGTACCATGAAGCCACGTGACACTCGGACAGGGGTCCTTCCAGCACGCAGCCTGTCCCAGCAGACTCAGTGCAGTGTCTCTGTATCCAGGTGGCATGGCAACCCCTCTCTATGCGCTCCCTCCAGCTCAGTGTCTGCATTTCCCTCCGTTCATTGAAGGAGCCTGTTTGCTTCTTCTGTCCCAGAGGTCGGCCCGCTGAGACACTACAGCAGGCGGGATTCACCGTGTTGCGAGAGATCCATCGACTCCGGGGAAGGAAGCTCACCTATGCACAGAGACACTACATCAAGTTAAATTTTAAACTTTTTTTTTTTTTTTTTTTTAAACGCTTTTACTGCTTCCAGCTACAAAGATAGCAGAGACCAATGCTGGATTTCAAATGAGCACAAAAAACTGCTAAGCATAATATACAATCCCTTCAGAAGGTATCTGATCCAACTTTGTTAATTTTGTAAGCATCCAGCCACTTTACAAAGGCACTCCAAAACGAGTCACAGGTATACAACCATGACAATTATCTGCAACTCGATTACATCCCACCAAGACTGAATGTTTTGTGTATTGGACAAGTTAGCCAATTAGCTAATCAACAAACAAGACTCAGTAGGGCTAGACGATATGGCCAAAAGTGTTATCCCGAAAAAAAATTTCATATCTTTCGATAAGTCTCAAATTGTTATTTCTTTTGAGTTTAAAGGCTGATTTTTGCTCCTCAGTTAAAGTTGAAGAAACCTGATGGTTAATTGTGGTTTAAACTGTTCTTTATGGTCAGAACATGACAAACATTTGATTCCAGACAGTGGATCACTTCACAAATCTGAGGGAGAACATTCAAAACAATTATGATAGAATCTTTTTCAACAACGATGCACGAGTAAAATTAAGTATAAGCTTTTTTTCTGTCCTCAACAAAAGGAACATATTCATAAGAAAATTCAGTCCTAATTCGTGTGATTCAAGTGAATCAAATCAATCATTTATTGAACATTTGTTATATTGTTATTGAAAAAAAAATTATATTGCAATATTATTGTTGTCGTTTTATTGTCCAGCCCTAACTCAGAGTCTACAGCCAGTGGCTGTGTAAGGATGTACATAGGTAAAGTCAGCATGCCAACATGCACACAATACTACCATGCTGATGCTAAGCAGGTGTAATGTTTACAGTGTTCATCAGTGTAGTGTGTTGGCATGCTAACATTTGTTAATTAGCAGAAAACACAAAGTACAAAGCTGGTGGAAAAGGTCATTAGTTTTGCAGGGATTTAGTCTTAAACCGAAAGTTTAAACCTAAAATTCATCCTGAGGGGGACATGAATGTGTGCACCAAATTGGAAATCCATCCAATCGTTATATAGATATTCGTCTAGACCAGTCGCTAGAGGAAAAGCCAGGTGACCAAAGTCAGTAGGATTCATCCTGTGGGGATCACAAATATCTGCACCATGTTGTAAATCCATCAAATCATTGTTGATATATTTAGATCAAAGTGGTGGACCAAATGACATTGCCATCACTTGCATGGCTAAAAATAAACTAACGTCAATTGTGACTGATTAATCGGTGTCATTTAGCAGCAAAACCTCCAAACATCTGCGAGCTGTGGCTTATTTTGTTTTCACATGATTAGAAATGTTAATTTGAAGTGTTTTCCCTGTGTTACCCAGTTTTTATTTGATATTTGCAGGCTCTTGTGTTTGTTGCTGCCACAGAAAAAAAATATGCATTCACCACACTGTCAAGTTTATCAGAGCTCTACATGGGTTTAATACAAACTGTTGTACCAGAAAAGGATGACAACTTTTCGTCTCGTTTTCTTTGGGTCTGGGTTCAGTTGATTAGAAATCTTGTCATCGCTCCCCCATCAAAAAACACAATTTCTAAAGTTAATTAAAGCTTAATTTTTAGGTCACCAAAAACTCAGTGCTCAGAAATAACAGGAACACCTACAGTTCCAACAAACTCCATTAGTGATGAAGAATTAGAACAGTGGCCAAATTGACCTTTACATGAAATCGTTTTGCCAGCTGATGTTTCAAAAAGGTCAAGAATGAACTTTGACGCTCAATCATATGACACATTCATGGTCTACAGACATCCTACCTGGAAGCGCTGCAGGTATTCCTGAGCCGTACAGTCCCTGATGTAGTCAAGCCGCTGCCTCTGCTCGGTGGTCATTCCTTCAGACAGTCGCAGGTTTTCTGTGATTGTCTCCACCTGCAGCGCGTGGAAGTACAAGCACACCTCTTCGTGTTGTTTAAAGAACGACTCTGGGACTAGGGAGTATGGGAAAAGCGCCTCCCGGTCTGCCAGATTTGGTCCGTAGTTACGAATCAGTTTTGAGAGCAGAGGCCTCACAGCTTCCTTGCCGTCATAGTTCAGACACACGACATAAACCTCAGAGTTGCCCGACTTGCTGGTGGCAGGTTTGAAGACGTTGACGGAGCGGAAACAGCAGTTGAGCAGGTAGAGAAGGCAGATGGAGGAGTGTTCATACAGCGTGAACATTTTCAGTACAAAGGAGCCACCGGGGCTTAAGAGCAGCAGTGCAGCTGTGACCTCACAGTAATGTAGCGATGCCACCAGCGCCTCCTGCTCGTCTGGGTTCTCCTGGCAGTCAAAACTACCATCTGCCGTCACCAAATCAACTCTACGCATGTTAGACACAAACACCTGCAGCTCCAGCAAATGCTTCTGGATCATGATGTTGCCTGTGTTATCCGAGCCGAAGAACCACCAGGGCAGTGTGTTAGCGATTAACCGATCATCTGCGATCGTTGTGCTCCCACCGTTCGCCTCATGGTACGGGTTGAGAGTGTTGGCAGCCCAGCTCCAGTCACAGTAGCGCGTGGACTCGTTAGTGTTGATGTAGTGGTTCAGAGCGGTTATAAAAGCCCCTGGAGCTTCGCACAGGTGGACCGTGTTCAGCTCTCCATTTTGAAGGGCCTCCTCTGGAAGAAGACTGAAGGTTCCCAGGATCTCAAAGAACTTGCACCAGGCCTGAGTGCAGATCTCCGCGTTGGCAGCAGAACGCACGGCGGCGATCACCTTCCCGGCTCGATTGGTGGAGTTTGTGTGCTGATGCCAGACCTGGACATTCTTGTCACTGAGCTGGTTCTTTACAGCATTCAGCGACGTCTTCAGGGCCTGCAGCCGGCAGTGTTCCTCTGCAGGGTGTCTGAGAGCAGCATTTGGGTCGGGGATGCACCACTCCCCATTGGACGGTTTCACATAGGTTCTAACTTTACTAAAAAGACCTTGAATCTCAGTCATTGTTTCAGGGTCAAACACCACCATGTTGCTGAAATGCTGCAACTTGCCGACTTTCCTCCTGGTCCCATTGCCCGAGCTCATCCTCCACACCTGTAGAATTACACCAACAATGAACACTTGCAGCAACGTTGTGTTTGTTTACCATAGTATGGCTGACATAAGACCACGGTCTTCAAAAAAAAAAAAACATATTCAGGCTAGTCTGGGGTGGTACCACCTTTTACTATGCCATCATGACATGCTAAAAATACTTAAGCAATTCATGTACTTATTGAGCTTTTTCTAATTAGTGACAAAAATAATTTACAGTCAGAATAAAATTAACCCCTGAGCTAATCCTCTGCTCGTTCATATGATTTAGATGACACCAGGCAGAGAACATATTTCTGGGTCATTTCTTTATTAGTCTGCACTGACTATGATGAATGGCAATATATGGTATATAGCTAATGGCAGCACATCCATCAATTATTCCTCATAAATAATATTGTTAAGCATCGCTTGTGTGTATGAAAGTGATCTGCTCCATGCTGTGTTTTTCAACGGTTTAGCTGCCGTTAAATATAACTGGCAAGAAAAACAGCCCGACGTTGCGGTTTTATCCATACAGGAGCTTTAGGAAGGTAATAAAAAGACCTGAGATAATTTTATACATTGATAATTGGGTCTGAAATTATCTACTCAGATGTGCTGCAAGATTATAAAGATTCACTGGTACTGCAATAAATAAATGTAAAAACCATACTAACAAACAATCACTAGTTTAGCATTAGCTACATGCTTGCAAGCTATAGTAAAGTTAGTGAGTAAAGAATATGTACCAAAACAATACATCTAACAGAAAACAAAACAAACATTTCAATCAATGGTTTTAAGTAATTTGCCAGTTTTCTTTATCTCGTTTGTTGAGAACCACAAATTCAATCTGTTTCTCTTGCTCGGGCATTTGAACAAATTATTTCCTACATGTTAACCTATAAAAGAGTGTGTGTTTGAGCGTGGTTTGTTGAACCACAATGACCAACCATTCATTGGGCCCTCAAAGTTCACCCATATTAAACTGGTCACCCGACCTTCAGACACAGATATCTCCTTAAAAAAACAAACATAATATGGTTTTCTGATTATTATAAAGCCTACAGACAAGGTTACCTCCAATTTCAATACTTTTGGCCCAAAATGAATAAATGAGGCGATTTATTTGTCCCTAAACCTTCATTTGCTATTGGTTGAGTAACAGCAGACTTGTCACTATATAGTGGGTATCTCAATCCAACATATGAATCGTTACACATTGCATATTTATTAAATATTTCTTCAGTTTCCCCATTTTTTTTTAATCATAAACTGACTGAATATTTAAATTAAACTGCATAACAAGGAAGACAAGTCAGCAAAACTGTGTAGTGCAGAGTCTCTCCAGTGGAGTCATACAGAGCGACAGGCAGCAACTCTCTAAGTTCAAATGAGGTGTTTTTAACAGTCATTTAAACAAAATAGGTAATTAGAAGATAAAACCTTGGGCTCTAGGTACTTTATATATCCTTATTTTTGGATAAGGATATAATAAATCAAAAAGGTCAGATGTTTTTTTTTTTTTAGAAGGAACTGGCTGCAGACAAGATGAACAACTGGTTGAGAAGGAATGGATCTGCAAATACCACATACAGAGTCCTGCTTTCGAAAGTACATAAGTATTAGCATCAAAATATACTTAAAGTACCAAAACTAAAAGTACTCATCATGCAGGACCTATTTTAGAATAATGTATATAATATCACTTTAATGCATCAATAATTATTATCAATGTGTAAATATCACTGATGTTGCAGCTGGGTGGAGCTACAAATTCAGAAAACTGATCTACCTCATATCCATGCCTCTCTCTCTCTCTCATAGTCACTTTCTCTGGCATTAAACTATCCACTAGCCCATGCCAGGTTTGTGTGCACACTCCCAGATAACTTACTCTATAAAAATACATTATAATTTATTAGTTGATTTATATATTGTATTAATAATCTGAATCTGCAAAGTACCTAGTAACTAAAGTTATCAATATATGAAGTGGAGTAAAAAGTACCATATTGGCTACAAAGTAAAATAGAATTTCTCAAGTAAAGAACAAGTATCTTAAAATTGTACTGTGGCCTGTACTACGAAGGGAGTTCATCCTACTCAGAGTTAACTCGGGGTTATCAGGCAAACTCAGGTTTGACAAACTCTGACCGCCTACACTGGAGTTTAACGGTACTACAACTCTATTAACTTAATTGGAGTTTGTGCGCGTTCGCATAAAAGGGGCGTGTTCGGCCGAGGCTGCAAGGCTCGCTGTCCGTAGGTAATCCTGATGTGTTCAGAACTTCACTGCAGCCACAGTGGAACAAATCAGGATGAAATCTAAACATATTTTACAAAGTGGGGTGTACTAATAGCCTACTTCTCATCATTAACATGGAGTACAGGTGTTGTGTGTAACGTTTAGTCCACGTGCAGGGTAACCTCGAGCTAACCTCAAACAAAACCTGCTCGCAGCGGTTTAGAGATGCAGCATGGTAACAGACCTCGGGTAACACCTTTCATATCCACCTTTCGTAGTACGGGTTAATCAGGAAGTCACAGCTGACGTCACGAAGCTACTGCTGAAGTTACCTGAATAAACCAGTTACCCCGCTTCGTCGTACAGGCCGCTGGAGTAAATGTTCCTCAGACATGGATGCTTGAATATATTTGCACACTGTTACGTAAGGGAAACCTTTTGTTGCTGAAAAAACTGAGACAGAAATAATGATGAACTTTAGCAGACAGACAGTGACTTGATAAATATTGTTTGTGGAAAGCACAACCCGTGTTAGCCGTAAAGTGTCTCCTCCTCTTAGGCTAAACGGGACGCTTCCTACAGAGCAGTGCTCGAGGCCGAGTTGTGTCTCTGACAACCTGCAAAGACTGAGTTTCCTGTGCTGTCTGGAGCCTTTCAGGGTTATGTTTCTGTCCCAGTGTGAAGTCTTAGGTGCTGCCTGTCGAGAAGAGACACACAAACACCCTGAAAACACGGAACACAAACTCACCGGACCGAAGATGCTGTCAGAAAACAGAAGGACGCTTTCACGTGACTTATAACAAGACTGCGCATGCGTTTGAGCGAAAGGTCGGGGTTTCTTTTAAAGGAGCACGTCTCTTTACTCATGAGCATGTTTGAGTTTCATTTGTTAAAATCGCAAACAAATTACATAAGAGTAACAACGGACAGTGATCAATTTACATACACATCTTACATTTATCATTTTACTTTTATATCATCGTTATAATTTGAGATTGTTATTAATTTCCCATTCATTAATCATGTTATATTTAAAACAACATTTGCATTGTCAGAGAAACAGAAACTTTAACCAAAATAATTCCATAACATATCCCGATTTGTTATTAAAAAATATAGCTCTGCATCAAGCTTCTCTTGAAAGTAGAAGATTTTCGACTGGTTGAGAAGGAGTGGATCAGTGAATTTGTTTACCTTTATCTTGCATATAGAAATACATGCTGATTTTTCATGATCATGACTAAATCTTTTAAGGTCCAGGTAACCTGAAGCTGCTTTAAACACAATTAATTACAGAACAACAAACTTGGCTTGTTGTCTAGTAAAATCTAAACCAGAATCCTAAAAAATCTTGTTGGCTGCTCCCTATTTCATTCACTGTTTTGACTTTATGTAGATTCATTACTATTGAATATCACTCTGTAGATTACATGATAACTGCTCCATGATAACAATCCTAATAATATGGATAAACATATTGATCCACGTTGAAGTATTAAAATTTTTGGTTTCACAAGAGTTTGAGTCTCTGGCTGTTGAATAAACTGTATGATCCTCGATTCTACTGGATTTGCTTGTGTCTGTGTCATCGTGTTATGTAATTATTACAGCTCTGTAGAGTGTGAGATGATGTGTTTCAATGACATGTTTGAATGGGTTTAAATATTGCACTATACTGCATTCACTTGTCTCCTCTTCACATACTGTGGATCACACATGCTGTTCATGCAAAGGTAATTCAGGCTTCGATAAGAAATATGTGACCACATAAAAACAGGACTCTCACAGGAGGAGACTCATTCATAAATAATGGACCTTTGGGATGTCCAGGTGCAATTAGGATTTCCAAAAGTGGTGAGTTTAAACATTTTATCATCTGATTTACTGCTATAACAGTGATACCTCTTGTAATATTAATGTGTGCACAATCCTGTCACAATGCAGTATTTCAAACTGTGACAGGTGGAGAAAGGCAGGTGTTGATGAGACAGTGAGACGGTGAGACAGTGGACAAGACACGTGCTTTTGGTGTGGGAGACCGGGGTTCAATTCTCCCTAACAAGATACTTAACCCCTAGTTGCTCCAGAAGTGTGCAACCTCTGACAGATACAGCAATTGTGAGTTGCTTTGGGTAAAAGCATTGGCTTAATGTAATGGAATAGCTTACTTGGAAATGCTGGTGAAAGTTGTGAAAACATAAATAATTATTCCTTAAAGCATTGTCTTGTGACAACAAAAAAGTAACATGATGTAAATCTTGCTTTGAAAGTGAGCACTTTAAACCCTAAATAGGTATCGTGGCTACATTTATAATTCAGTAAAACTTCATCACTTTTCAAAACTAGGGCTTAAGTGCTTCACAGTTACAAAACAGACAATGCATTGATGTAAATATTTAATTAAAAGACAAGCAAGAACTATAAAAGAGTAAAAACAAATTGGATGAGGGTGCATCAATAAACAGGTTTTGATCTTCAGAGAGGACACTGCTCCATAATCTCAGAGCCAGGACAGCTTGGGTCACCATGAGTCACGAGAGGCCTGGTGGCTTCTACATAAACAAATTGATCCGTACCGTAAAACTTCAGTTAGCCTAGTCCCAGTTAGACCCCTGTTCCTTTTACTGGCCTGGTGTGGCTACATCACAAATAAACACAGTTCTTAATTAGAAGCCTGGTCTGGTTTTCATGAAACCTCTTAAAGCCCACCAGGTCGCCTGCTTGAACTACTTCTAAGGTGCTTAGATCACACATACTGATATAACTGTTTAAGCTTTTGTCAGCATGCTATTGTTATATCGTCTACATTCTCCATAATTCAATCATTTAGTTCATTTCATTTGAATGGCCTAAAAAATCTGTTTGTTCTCAAAATTAGCTAATAAGTGATCCTTACAAGCACATGCAAGTAGATTTGTAACATCATGCTACTTGAACAAATTCTAAGCAACAGTACTGGTCAGTTGTTGCTGGAGTGTCTGTAAATGTGTCTGTTACAGGTCTGTATCAACTAGAGGTCATTTGAATTGGTGGGGAGTTAAACAAGGGAGAAAGAAAACACTTTCTGAAAAATACTGAGAACCTGAAGATATGACTAACCCTTTCAATCATAACGTAATAAAAATAATAATCGCTCACAGAATTGACAGAATGAGAGCTGACTTTAAGATTACTTTGGTAAAATGGTTTGTAACAATGAATTGGTTGAAACATGGAATGAAGGATTTTTATTTTGAAGGTGTGTAGAGTCATGAAAAATAAAAATAAAACAGGCCCTTTAAGGAGAAAGGAAAGCTCTGCGTTTACAGTATTCAAATTCAAAGGCAACAGCAAACTGTATATATCACAATTGATATTAAAGAGATTTAAAGGTCATGTGCGACATTGAAAAAAATTAAATGTGCACTACAAATGGGAAGAGAGACATTCATACTCTATGTGGTATATTATTCCTAAAGGGCAGCCACTCTCAAATTCCCTCCAGCATTCAGCTCACTCAGGTCTCAAATAACAAACCAACTGTGTGACTCTGCCATCCTATAAAGTGTCCTGTAGGCTGAAACAATAGCTGTCAGTGTCAAGACAAACTATAACACAGACGTGCCCTTCAGACTGAGTTTAGATAACTAGACATTTATTGCAAACCAAAATTGCATTTTGTACATACAGACAGGGATGGGCAGTATTTATGACATGTATTTTAAAATACGTAGCTTATTTCAAATACAAAATGGGATTTTGTATTTTGTATTTGATAGGGTTGATGAAAATGGCTTCATAGTTTGTACGTATACCTTTGTATTTTGTAGTTTAAAAATACTGTAAAATACTTTGTGTGAATTAATGGCATCATAAAAATGGGCCTCTGATGGTGCCTACTCAGTAATTTGGCCAGACTTATTGAGATCAGAACAGAAAATTGATCCAGACCTGAAAAAGAAGCTCAGGAAAAGTGTAGTTGTGCAGCTTTCCATCGATTTTTGGCAGAAATTGCCACATCTCTTAACAGTTCCTGTTAAGTTGTGGTGTTCATTGCAGTAGGCTAAATTGTTTACCAACTAGCTTGCAACTTTTAGCCTACTTTAAGTTTTCACTGGTTGTGCACGAAAAAAAAAGTGTTTCAGAGTTGTTGTACATCATACTTTATAATGCCAAGAGATGGTTTAACTTGTTAAATGGACACATGTGTGCCTTATTGTCATTTAAAACGTTTTGCTGCCACACCATTAAACAGCAGGTTGTCGACCCTTTCATCACTCGTGTTTGTTGTAGCTCACAACGTCTCATCAAGTCTAAGGGTGGAGTGGTGTTTCTTTTGTGAGAATTGTTCCCAAAAATTATGCTATTGAACAAGATTGTGTGGGTACTATATTTTTTTTAAATGCTGGTCAGAACGAGATTGGAGGCAGAGATAGGAGCATGAAGAGGCAGTAGCCAATGAGAGAGACATGGGAAAGGCAGACAAAAAAGAATAGAGGTAAGGGAATCACGCTGGTGCTACGCTGAACTCCTAAAACATTCACAATCATTTGTAGCACAGTTATTGAAAAACATAACTGATCTCTCACAGCTACCTACGAGTCTTACATGCAGTTATATTACATCAATTGTATCGATTCCTCAAAAGCTTCTCAAAATGAGATACTATCCTAATCTAAGGATACAATTATGAGTCATTAGCAAACTGTTAAACTTCAGCTAAAAGCAGCATGCTGACTGCTCAAAATCAGCATGCTAGCATTGTCAGTTTTATGTGCTGTCTACTTAACTACACTACAAATTATGTTGAATCCTCACTTGTTAGCAGAATCAAATTTAGTCTACCTTTACTTCAATCAGTCAATCAATCAATCAAGTTTTATATAAAGTGCAAAATCACCAAAAGACATGGTCCCAATACACAAAATGCAATGAAATAAAATAAAATACAATACAATACTTCACCTGATACAATCAAATTGAAGCCCATTTCCACATGACAGTGAAATTAAATGTATTACGTAGACTTACTGCTGTTTTCTATTCTTCGTTGTTATTCATAATCTCATGTATGAATGCAATGATAGTTTGTTTCTTTGTCTATCCGCACATACACTATATCTAACAAGTAAATGAAATTAGTCACGTTTCTGTGGCGTTGTAGATCTGACAGCCCTCCTCTTATGTTCGGTTTCAACTTTAATAAATACAGTCTCACTGTTTGTGTGACTTTCCCACTTTGGTTTGAGAAATTATGTTTTCAAAAGTAATACTAAAGAAATCTGTCAGAGGGTGTGAAATGTAAAAGATCCTCACAAGTTACGTTTCACTAAAATATGCCAAACTTCAGCTGAACTAAACTTGTTAATTAATAAATGCATTGTTTAAAGTAGATATAAGCTATGAAAATAAGTTTTTGTCAGCATGCAAATTAAAGTCTTCTTTTGTCATGTTACAACATTTAAAGACTGTTGTAGCCAGGAAAAACATTAGTGCTCTTTTAGTATCACAGATAGGATTTAAAGTTAGCCTGATCTGGTGCTCTCACACAGTGAGACAGAGGCCTCTCCTTCACCCCAGCTCATTGCTACTGCAGCGATTATCCCGTAGAGTTCAGCCCAGAGATCTCCTGTCATCATTTTAATAAAGGCCTGGGCAGCAAAGTGATGGACGCATGTTATCTCCATCATGATGATCTCAGCATGGTGGTCATAACCTTGATGCATAGAAAACAAGGTCATACATGCACACAACCATGTCATACAGACAGTACACTGTTAGACCCACAAAGCAATAACAGTGCTATAGCAACACCCCTCTTCCTATTTGGTATGGAAAAAGACATGAAGCCATTAATCTGCAAATTAAATACCAGCAAAATAGCTTTTTTCACCAATTCTGAACACAAAAGGTATGCAGATTTCAATCATTGTGACAGTGGCAGTGATGGAAACCACACACACACACACACACAGCAAAAGAAATAACACGCAACCATTTGTTTGAATTCAGGGAGTTTTCTGATGCTCTTATCAGGGACAATTAACTGAAAGGGATGTTGCCACAAATTGCCATTTTATTAATTAGGAATGCAAGAAGCCTACATTACAAGCAATCTTTCAATAACAAAGTAGCTACAGGGGACAGCATAATAACAAGGACTGGAAATTATTTTTCAGAGGCTGAGGAAAATTAAAAGATAATAATAATAATGCAGAGAATAATGGATGATTTTTAGCCACACTAGTGGAATGGCCCCAGGGATGGTAATCTTGGTCGGTGGGCTGGTCCACCACTTTGGTCCAGACTGAAATAAACTCAAACAAAAATATCTAAACAATTATTAAATGGACTGCTGTGAAATTTTGTACAGACATTCATGGTCCCTAGAAGATGAATCCTACTGACTTTGGAGATCACTTAACTTTGCCCATAGCGCCATCATCAGGTCAAGTTTGTTTTCTTCTATTCTTCGCTGTGTGATCAAGTACTTGTAAAACTAATGGCATTGTTCACATCAGCCTCATTTTTGTGTTTAGTTAGCAAATGCGAGCAGGATAATGAGTAAATTCTATTATATTTGCTAAACGTAAGCTGACATCAGCATGGCTGCAGATTCTTATTTTTGTTTGTGTGAAACAAAACAATGGCTGTTGTGAAATCATAACTGAGATAAGAAGGACATTCTTTCATTTTTGGAGGCAGAAACGTCTGAAATAGGTTAAACAGACAGAGAACAGATGCACTAAGCTCTTGGTAGCTGTATACTTGTATGTCCCGGGACAGCAGAGTTGTCTTTCTAAATATGTGAGCCAGTTTACTTACAGTAACTGCAGGATTCAAGGAGTTTGTTTCACATTTTTTTCCCCCTGCATTTAAAGGATTTAGTCATTTTACCAGCAGGTTGAAATATAATCCCATCAGCAGAAAGCAAGATGAGTATAATATTTTGAGGTTTTCTCTTAAGGACACTCACGCCGCACAAGATGAAAATAAACCCATTATATAACCGATGCGTCAATTAGAAGTCACTGTTTCTAGATGGTCTATTTTTGAATGAAGTTCTTATTCGTTGTGTGTGTGGTCAGACAGATTTGTCTGTGAAGTTAGCATGGCTGATAGGCTGCCTTTAAACCCTCTAGGCACATATCCCGCACCCATTTTCTGCATTTACTGTAAATCATTACTCACAAGTCCACTAGCACACTTGTGTGAGCATGTGCACTCTCACAGGCTGTGTGCCATAACTCATTAAGCTTGAAGTCAATACACAATAAATAGTGACATTCAGCATACCTCAGTCCATCACTCATATGATTCAGGCCACGTGGAGGTCAGTGGGGAGAGAGAATGGGAAAATGCAGAGGAAGGATAAGAATCATGTACTTAAAAGAGGGAAATCTTAATATTATTCATGCACATTATCATGTGGTAGATGTAGACATGTATTTCAAGGATATTACCTTGAATACTGTCTTGCTTACTTGATTTAAACGAGCACTCTCTTGTCAAAAGAATCCCTGAGACCATAATAACAATGATAAGAACACATTTTTTTTCTTATCTATGTTGCCAATATGCAGTTCCACAAACATATATGAATGAGTGACTGCAGATAAATATATAATGCCTCTGTGGCGCAATACTGCCCCCTGGTAGTATTTGCAAGCACAAACGTAGACTCAAAGACAAAACACTTTTCAACTCATTTGTTTTATATATTGTATTTATGTTATTTTCATAACAAATAAAATAATAAAACAGATATATTCAAACATAAATATTTTTTTTGCACAATCTTTTCTTTGACATTGCAAATAATATTCTATTTTAATGCATCACACAAACAAAAATATGTAATTATATTTTATATCCAGGTCGTGGATGACCTTTTATACAAATCTTATATACAACTAAAAACCACCTTTAGAAATGCAACTTTCAGTTGTGCAGAAGAGCTGATCATCACAAAATGCTCACAGTGAAGCAGCAGAATGCAGAGGGTTGTGATGATGGTGTGAAATTCAGAATTTTTGGGAAATCTCCATGACAGCGATTGTCGTGCTCTGTCCGAAGATGAAGGCTCCAACTACAATAGTTATGACTCCCCAAACTGTTAAAATCACCCTGTAGAGAAGAGCATCAGTGCATCAAGAGAAAGATCAGTACAGCTTTTAAGCTATTAGGCAACAGTATGAAAGCTCTACAGTAATTAATAATCATTAATCATAAGTTCCTTTATTTAAACATCTACATGCTATAATAAATCAAATCTGCTCTGCCCATAGAGACCTTGCTTTATTTCTTTAAAAACAAGCCATTTCACGTGTACAAAATAAGACGCGTTCTTTCCTTCTTAGGAGGCAATACAATCTGAACTTAATAATGACTTTCCAAGGTACTTAACTAGCATAAAATATACACACGTGGAAGTGAACTCACTATCATGTTTGTATGACGAGCAGCAGGTTTTTATATACTACTTTTATGTACTACTCCCTTCAGAGAACAGCACAAACAGGTTCTAACCAGAATAGAAAGAGAAGTGGGAGGCCCAGGTGCACCACTAAGCAAGAGGACAAGTACATTAGAGTCTCCAGTTTGAGTAATAGATGCCTCACAGGTCCTCAACTGGCAGCTTCATCAAATGCCATATCTGAGACTGGCCAATAAAAGGAAAAGATGAAGATGGGCAAAAGAACACAGACATTGGACAGAAGAAGATTGGAAAAAAGTGTTATGGATAGACAAATCTAAGTCTGAGGTGTTTGGATCACACAGAAGAACATTTGTGAGATGCAGAACAACGCAGAAATCTGTAATGGAGTGGCCAGATCACCAGATCTCAACCCTTTTTGAGCTGTTGTGGGAGCAGCTTGACTGTAAGAAGTGCCCATCAAGCCAATCCAAATTGAGGAAGGTGCTTCAGGAAGCGTGGGGTGAAATTTCTTCAGATTACCTCAACAAATTGATGAATGCCAAAGGTCTGCAAGGCTGTAATTGCTGCAAATGGAGGATTCTTTGACGAAAGCAAAGTTTGAAGGACAAAATTATTATTTCAAATAAAAATTAGTATTTCTAACCTCGTCAATGTCTTGACTATATTTTCTATTCATTTTGAGTTTTCATGGAAAACATGAAATTGTCTGGGTGACCCCAAACTTTTGAACTGTAGTGTATGTATGAATTATAAGTTTGCCCGGAAACAAATTGTTTGTTAAGATGACCTACTGTGAAGCGACTAAAAGACTCTCCAGGTTATAGCAATTGGAAATAAAAATGTTCTGTATTTTTCTTATAATTTGCTCTAATTATTCCTTCCTGGAAGATTTCTTGAAAATTATTAGGAAATACTAAAGAAATGATGGACCTGTAAAATTCTAAGAAATCCTAACTCCGTGCACATATGAGTCTTCTGTAAGATCACACTCACCTGACTCTTTGTGTCACAGATTCAGTTTGCATTATGAACACTAAGCAAAGACCTGCAACACAAACACACGCCACATTGACAGTGTTACCTTACTGAGTGCATGGATCTCAATCAAACTTAAATTGTATCGCAGCTTCCGTACCAGTCAGTCCAATTCATAGTGATTTACATGTGATTGGCAAGCTAATAAGATATAAACCATATATATTATAAATACAAACCATGTATAAGTATAAAGCCATGTCCATCCATTACACATTATTATTTACATATTAAAGTAATGGTTGTTTACATACCAGGAAAAATAAAGATGAAGAAGGCGCTGATTCCTCCAATGACACTAATGACCTCACCCATGTCAGGGACAAACATGGCGATGAGAAGAGTGATGGATATCCAGATCACAGTGAGAACGACTCTGCAGCGACTCTCAAACGAATGAGTGACGATTCCACAGCGACGTCTTTGAATACGCAGCATCAGGTTCAGGATGACAGATCTGTTTTCCATGCACAAAGAGAGAAACCATGTTAGGTGATGAAACATAAACTCGCACAACGCAAAAAAAAGTCAACTCTGGTGCCGCCTACCTCCCCAGAAGAAGAATAATAGGATAGATGGTGATAATTGATATTAGGAAAAGTAGTCTGGAAATGATCATGACTACATCATTTCCTGGATATGACATCAAAATATCTGAGGCAACTGCTCGTCCAAACGTCAGGAATCCATACACACCTGGAGATGGAGAGAGCGGGTGTGATCAGCAGCTTTCAGGTGAGCACATAACGCACTTGGGGCGACGCTTTAGAGGTGAACTCACCAGTCAGAGTGTAGACAAGTAAACAGAAAAACATGGAGAGCACAGAGATGACCACCCAGTGGGAGAGCTTCTGGTTCGCCATGCTGCTGTAGATCGCTATACAGGCTTCATGGCACTGCAAACACACACACAGACACGCACGATTACTGAGATTAATAACTGAGGGAGTTAATGTTTTAGTTTTTCCTTCTGTTTCCTACTTAGTTATACAGAGTCATGGCTACTTTTTTGCAGTTTGAGAGAATGTTAAACACCGATTAACTTAACATACCTCAATACATATATATGTGATCCATTTATTGACATCTGCAACTACTGTTCCCAAAATATTAATACTTATTAATCTGCTATGACTGTACATGCTAAAACGAACTGTTTGTTTATGTAAACAGGATTTGGTCAAACCTTTATATGGTCTTGTTTAGTTAATAGTGAAATTAGCATCTTTACAAATACAGAAATTACAACACAAAGTTAAGTTAGGCAAGCCTGCCATCTTTGCAGAAGGTTAAACAGACATTTAGCAATTAAATTAACCTTCTCTAAGGGTGTAAGCTGTTGCATAAAAAGGGTATCCCTCTGCCTAAGTTGTAAAAAGTGTACAATTCCCCAGAAATCTAAATATTGCACTTGTGTACAAGTATTTACTAATGGTGTCTTCAAGTGAGGTTTACTGTGTTCACAGTCCATTTCAACAACCAAACTAATATTAACAACTTGTATTTTCTTATGGCTCAGTGTTAAAAGTTGGGACATGAAGTACACATACATTTTTGTGGGGACGGCGGTCTGTTTTATTTGACATTATTTTATCCCAAATATTTATTTCTGGCAGGAATTGAGCGGTTATATGGTACACATCTTTACAATCAGGCCACCAAGGCATCCCTTATTAGTTTTTTTCTATAATTTTCCTGTTCCTAGCATGAAAATCAAAAGCAGAAAAACAAATAATAATAATATGCACATTTTGAAATGTGAAGAAAGCTCCAGTTATATTATGGCAGGAATATTGTGATATGAGCAAAGACCTCTGACACCATGGGCATTCAGATGAAAGCTCTTCATACAGTGGAATTAAGATGATTTCCGTATGATCCACACGTTTGTATAGTCGTTAGTGTTGCTTGGTTTGTGACCCTTTTTCTTATTTGGACATTATTAACTCCATATTTAACCACTTGAATGCAGTTCCACATGCCTTCAGCATTTCATACTGACAACTTTTAAAGTTAATACCAGCCTGAAGTTGATCCTACCTGGAATCCAAAGCAGATGGTCGGTACGACACTGAACATTGAAGCCCAAGAACTGATGCTATAAAACACACAGACATTTACTGATGCAAGCATTACAGCAGCTGTACACAATGAGAGGCAAAATATAAATACACACATGTATCCATTAAAAACAGTGTTACTGACCCTTGGCTGTGCTCTGGAGATATGATAACAGCGTGGCTCTCCATCAGGTAATATTTGACGATAACTGCCACACACAGATATGTAGCGGCCAGTGTCCCCAACACACTGATACGAGGAGAAAACAGTTAAATCACATAAAAGCTGGATGTCAATCTGACTACAGATGAGTGTTGCATACCTTGTGTATTTCTGAATGCCGATTTCTTTTGGGATGGACAGGGGTAGGATGATGATGAGGCACATGATGAAGAGGGCAAAACGCTGGTCAGTGTACCAGTGATAAGGCATCTCTCCCTCAGTGGACCCAGTCACCCTATCATATAACGAAATACACACTGGAGAAGAAAAGGTCAAAATCAGCTTTATTTATCTGCTGCAACGTGAAGGCATCAACATACAGGACAAGACTCCCCAAATCATGTAGAGCCATCTAGATTTACAAAAGATTCATTTAGATGTTGTGTCTTGCTAAACAACGTGGTTTATGATTTTTAATGGCTGCATCATACATGCTTCGATGTTTGTGGATGAACATAAAGAATAATGAAAACCGAACATTCAACATGTGAATGTTGAATACGATGCTCTGTGCAGAATTTCTGATCAAATGGGGGGTGGGGGGTAAATCCGATCAAATGCACTGTTTAATATTGGAACAGAGCAAAAACATTAAAGGGATTTGAAGGGTTTCAGATGGACAAAACGACAAATGAAAAAAATTAGATAAAAGCATTACTGCAGCAAGTCACATGTTTATCCTGATACTAGCTAGAATGAAAATTAAAGTGCAGATGACTTGTCATCTGAAAGAGATTATTTTTTTTGATATGGGAAATGGCTCCTAAATTGATCACAAACTGAGTGAGTACCTTGATGATATGACAACATTGCAGAAACCTATGCTGAGTGCAAACAGAGAAGTGCTTTACGATGATTAAAAGCTGGTTTTGAATGTCACAATAAGGATGGCGACAGGAGCCTGGTACACTATCATGTCATTGGTTAGCTCAGTTGGTAGAGCTCAGGACTCATACTCTCAGGGGTGGTGATGGTGCAGTGGATAAGACACATGGCTTTAGTGAGATAGACCTGGGTTTGAATCCACTGTGAGCAAGACACTTAACCCCTAGTTGCTCCAGAGGTGTGTGTAATATAACATGTGTCTAACATATTATTATGTCATAAATAATTTATGTCATTGTTCTGCTAACATGCAAGTTCATCATTTAGATTATTCACTCAATAGCGATTTTTGCTTTAGTGAAAATTATATTTTACGACAGTTGATCATGCCATAAAGGCTGTTTGCTGGCCATTGCATAAACTTTTAGGGAAAATGGTTCTGCGAAGCTTGAATCGAAAGTCTGCAATGAACTGGTTAGAGATGTAATGTTTGGACAAAATGCACCTGTCTTAACAATGTATACAACAAACTTTTAAACAAACCTTTTCTGCAGGGTTCACCGATTTAAATGTAACGACGTTTTAACCACTTAAAGTCAAATTTAATACCTGTTTCACATTCATACCATCCAAAGTGTAAAAATATGATGGAAATCCAGAATGATAATATGGCACCAGAAATATTTATTGTTATATCACATCCAACACAATAACTCCTAATGATATAATTAATCAAATGATGCGACCTGGCACAGCATAAATGGATGGATAAATTACCCAA